ACATTTCATTTTGGATTTTCTTCCTAGTTTTGTTTATCTTTAGCTGGGTTTTGAATAGTGGTCTACATAGTATGGATTCCCAAGTTGTAAAAGATGGAGGATGATTTGTATCAGAAGATTTTGTTTATCAATGAAAGTTTTTTTTTTGGTTTATCGTTTTAGTTTTTTTCAGTATTTTTAGTTATTCTTGTTAATCATATTTGTATTTTGTGTTCGTTTATTACTAATTGGTTTGATATCCTCGGGTGTTCGGGCGTGGGCCTGGCCAACCCGTATCCGGAAATCGGGGGATATCACATTAATTTCACTGGCACTTCTCGAAGTTTTGATCAATTTCACTTAGTGGCTAGTCAACGCTAATGTAGTCCCATCGCTCCCTAAGGTTTGTAAATTTTGCATACACACCCCCTCCAGAGCTTTGACATACGACAAAATAACCATTTAACCCTTTGACTTTCAACAAAGACAAAAAAAAAAAGTGTGAATAGACCAATATAACCCTTCCATATTACCATAATTACATGTTCTCAGCAATACATATACATATGTGTGTGTATGTGCGTGTGTGTATCATCTGCCAAAAGCGAGATTGGGTGAGCTTTGACGATAGTAGTGACCAATAGGCCAGCCAACAGTGACAACTAGAGAAGTTCCTGACGACGACGCGATGGTGAGGTTTTGACGAGAATAATGGTAAGAGGATATCACAACGGCACAACCCCAATCTATATTTCTCCAATGAGATGTACGATGACGCAATTTGCTCTAAACATCAAATCGCAAAAGCAAAACTGGTGTATGTGTGTGTTTATATGGGATATCACAATGGGGGTTTGATAGGTACTATATATATATATGAATTGGGGGATTGAGAGATACTCTGTGTGTGTGTGTGTGAATTGAGTTCGATTTGGGGTTTCTTGTGGTTTAATTGAGTTTGTTATGGGTTCGATTGTATTATTATGGGTGAAGATTATGGTGGGGGTGGCGATGATCAAAGACAGATGTAGAAATTTATACAAGGGGGGACAAATTTATATGGAGGGATTTTTTCATAATTTCAGTGGGGCAATTTCAAAATTTTATAGACATAAATGAAAAAAAGTACAAATTTAGGGGTATAAAATGCAATAACAAAAAAATTTAGTATTCGCCCCCACTGAGCACACAGTACATCTGTGCCTGGTGGTGATATCTATGTATGTGGTTTCAGATTGAAAAATTTGGTTCGATTTGGGTTTCTCGTGGTGGGTGGTGGCAACGGACTCGAATGGTGGTGGAGTTAATGATGGTGGCGATGGTGGGTGGTGGTTGTGGGGTTGATGTTGTGGTGGTGAGTGGAGAGAGAAAGGGGCAGTCGGTGGTAGAGGTGGCGATGGTGGTGGTGACATACACTCTAAAGAAAGAGTTCTCTTTCTTCCTCGTCATTTTCTCTATCTAGTATTGTTGAGGTGGAAAAAAAATTATTTAGTTGTCAATTGCTGAGGGGTATTTTTGTCAGCTGACATTGCTGATATTTTGTGAATAAAATTGAATTTAATTCGAGGGCATTTATGTCATTTGAAATATCAAGGGTATCATTGTCCAAAATTGCATTACCAAGCGTTAAGTGAAATTGACTAAACCCTTAAGGATGTAAGTACAATTAATTCTTAAATCAAAGATGTAACCATTCCTTCTCATTTATGAGCGTTTCACTGTTGCATCTTGATGTATCATATTGTATTAGTGTTGCATTGAGTATTTGCATTAATTGTGTTGGGTACAAATTTTAAGAGTTAACTTTTTTATTTTTATTTTTTTCACTAGGCCTAAGTCTTAAGTCTCACCAAGCAGCGCGAGCGAAAGTGAATTCGAGAGTGAGAAAACATGAAATCAACAAAATTTAATTACACAAAGTAAAAATAAGTGAGAGCGAGCACACAATATAGAAATAGAAACACACTCGAAAAGTGGAACAACACTTATTAAAAAGAATCATTTGACTTAGGCTTTATTTGACATGCGTTTTGTTTATGTTATTTTTATTTTTGGCTGCTACGTTGTCGATTTTGGCAACAAAAACATGTTTGGTGTGGTCTGGTTTTATTTTACACAGTACTAAAACACTTGGTGAACAGTGACCCAAAACCAAAATATTAAAAACTTATTTTTTCTTATTTTGACAATTGTTCATGACTTAAAATCATATTTTTCATGTTTCTATTTCCAACATTTCCACAGCAAAATATCGTTCCTAAACATACTTTCAATTTTTTTTAAAACACTCCAACAGTAAAAATATATTTTGTATATTTCTGTTTTCGACATTTTTACAGTAAAATATCATTTCCAAAAGTACTTTCAATTTTTTTTCAAAACACTCCTACAACAAAAATACTATTTCTATTTTAATTAAAAACAAAACACGTGTGAAACGGATCTTAAACTAACATCATCAACTAATTCAGAATTCAATTTTACTTTTTTTCAAATATTTTACTTTCCTTTTAATTTTTACTTTTTTATAATTTTCCCCGCTAAATCCAAATCTTTCATACTGGTCTAAATTTGTTGTCAGGATACTTTCATCGCATAAAAAGGTGGGACCAAATGGGTATTACCTAGGGTTTCCTATGTAAAATCAATCAACATTCAACACACAACAACAAGAAGGTACATTTTGGAAACCTCACTAAATACCGTACTTTCGTTTCTTTCCCTATCTGTTCTATCCTCTTCTTTCACGTAATCTCTGCGCTTGTAAGCAGTAAGATTTTGTACTGTGGAATTAGTAACACAAACAAGCCACAAAGGACATTTCCGTAATTTCACTACAATCATACTTAAGTACTTTCAAAATTTCAAGCTAATCCACCCCAAATTTTTGCTGGTTGGGCTCCACGTTGCGAGGCATTCACGTGGAGTGCCGGCAGCAAAAATCAAGGCGCGTATAGTGATGATAATCTCAATTCAAAGTTTCAAAATTTTGAAATTACTATAAAACAATAATCAAGACACGTTGCCCAATAGGAGCGCGACAGGTGTTGGGGAGCGTTCAAGAGCGGCCATAGAAAACGACCCAGAGCCGGCGGTTCAAACTTTTTACCCGGTAACTAACCGTCAATTAAGCATTGAATTTACCGTTTTGTTTTGTTTTGATTTTGTTACTTTTCTGTGGACCAAAACGTCCTTGTATTTTACCTAGTATTACATTTCCGCCATTACTTATTGTGATTCCAATATTACCCTTCTACGGGATTAGCAATTTCGGAATTGTCCCGAGGAGCTAAGGGTGGGGTAGAATCATTTCAGTTGGGCTACTTGACGACAAAAGCTGGCCCGATGTCTTCTTCTGTGTCTGCTTTTTCTCACTTTGCTTCCAAGTCATGTCCTGTCCCCAACCATGGTCATCATGAAGGGTACTTCAGTAATTTTCGTTAAGCTTCAGTTAGACTTTTAATACGGCCACGAGAAACGGGTTGTTTAAACATCACCTGGTTCGGGTCTCCCGGACACGGTAAATCTACTTTCTGGCATGCATTGAATTGAAGACTTATGGACATTTATTTAAACATTTAAAAGTAACCTAACAAACCATTTTATTCACAAAATAGAAAAAATATACGAAAATAGATAAGAGGGATATTTAATTTTACGTTTAAAAATGAATTTTCACATGTATATTTTATTTGCATGAATTTTTTTTTTTTTTTTAAATGATCATTTTATGGTTTGAATAGCAAGCTTACCATACATATATAATAAAAAGTCCATTATTGTAAGTTCATATAATTTTATTGAGAAATTAAAATTTATATGGTATAGACTTATAGTTAGGTGGCTATTGAAAAAATATATATATTTTTTTCTTACTAAACAAACTTCTAAAGTATTTAAATAAATTCCGTTTCCTATTTTTCTTCTTTTTTATACTATTTTCATCACATAAATAACTATTTTATACCATTTATATATATTGTATGTTTCACGTGCAGGTTGTTCTTATTTGGGTTGATTTAAATTTGGAATCTCGTGTGTAAAAAATGCACACCTTGTTTTGATTATATACTTAAATAAAAATATATTGAGTCCCAATTATATCTTGTTTTTGGTTTCCAATTACGTATCTCCAAATTATAGTAAGTCAATATATGGTGTTTTTTTCCCTAATAAAGTAATATCAATAAAAACTGCGCAAAAATCGACCCGCATCATTCTTACTAGTTCTACTAAAAAAGAGTGTTTTTTACCGGAAAGAAGAGAAAGATCAGATATTCCAATGCTCTATATATGTGTGTGTATATATATATACACATTCATATATACACAACATTGCTTTAATTGGAGATTTGAAGTGGTAGTTTCGTGGGAAAATTAGAAACGAAAAAGCGGGAAAGGAAGAGAAAAAAAGAAGTGAAGCAGCAGTAAAGAGCGGCGATCAAGGCGGGTAGGCAAATCACGTAAATTAGTCAAAAGGGATGGGCCAATGCTTCCAAAAGAAGTAAAGATCCATTGCATAAAAAGTACACAAAGTTGGCGGTTTCGTGGATAATTAATCACTTGGTTGGTTTTTTTTGGTGGGCCGGGCCACACCATACCCACAATATTTACCAAAACAATAAATTCAAATTTAAAACTTGATAAGACCTGACTTGCCTTTCCCGGTTAAAATCCAGACCCGGATAATTATATGTTGGTATAGAATCCAAATTAATATCTACTAAGTAAACCATGGTGGTCAAGTCTAATCATGTTTAAATTTTAAATATGACTCACAGATTCGGAGAGATTTAAATTTAACTAGGTCATTAAGTATTAAATCGATGATGATTTAATATTTGTGAATAATATATTAAATACTTAAAAATTTTGATCATAACGCAGTAATAGTGGCCGTCCATTATGATAGGTATGCATTTGGTAATGTAGAGGATTCGGACTCAACCATGTAATATTAGAAACAGATCATATAATACAGAAACAAAGCCGTTATATAATCTATATACTGCAAATGGAGGTGTAAATAGACACAATAGATATAGAAAAAACTGACACAGGAAGAAAGAGATAAATAAGTAGAGAGAGAAACAAAGAGAGAGAGATATAAAGAAGAAACGGGCGTTTTAAGACAGTATTTGTGCACGGAACGCTTAAAGCCCTCTCATTCAATGCTTCACCCAACTCATCACCACCCCTCCTTATTCTTCACCATCAACCCATTCACATCCTCCCCCTTCCCTCCTCATTCCACCACCACCACCGCCGCCACAAAACCCTCTTCTTCCCAACCTATTCAGGTACAATTATTCACTAATTTGAAGGTTTTTCATACATATTTATAACATATATATATATATGTAATTGTTTTGGGGTTTTGTGATATTAGGCTGAACAAGGCATGGAGGCGTTGAAAAGCAGTTTCAGGCCGGAAATGGCGGTGAAAGCGGCGGCGACGAACCACCAGGCGTGTTTGGATGACTTGTGGATGGCTAATGGTCAAAACGGTGTGGTCTCGGGCGATGATTTCTTTGTTGACGACCTGCTTGACTTCTCGGAAGAAGGGCTAGTCGAAGAAGAAGAACAAGAAGACCATAAACAACAAGACAACAAGCCTTGTTGTCTCTCTATTTCTTCGCCCAAACTACAGTCCCCAAAAGCAGAGAAAGTACAGCCCTTTGACTCTGTCAAAGACGATTTTGGGTCCGTCCCTGGCAGCGAACTTAGCGTACCTGTAAGTCCGCTGCTTATCTTTCTCTAATTTCTCTCTCTAGAAAAAGGGTTTTAGGGTTTGTGTTGAAAAGGGGGTTTCTGTTTTTACAGGCCGATGATTTGGCGGACTTGGAATGGTTGTCTCATTTTGTTGAGGACTCTTTCTCTCTAACATTTCCCGCCGAAAAGCTGACACAGGGCCGCTCTGAAAAAGAAACACCGGTCTCCGACAAGCCCTGTTTCGCCACTCCGGTTCAGACGAAGGCGAGAAGCAAGCGAGTTCGGGCTGGAGGACGGGTCTGGTCACTCGGGTCGCCTTCTCTGACGGAATCGTCTTCCTCGTCTTCGGCTTCGTCGTCTTCAACTTTGTCATCACCGTCCAATCCATGGCTTATCTACACCGGCCAAACTCATACCGCCGAGTCGTTTCTCGGAAAACCACCCGCCAAGAAGCAGAAGAAGAAAAGCCCGGAAGCCTCCGCCGCCGGCGGAGGCGGTGTTATGGGTCAGTTTCCGCGGCGGTGCAGCCATTGCCTTGTTCAGAAGACCCCACAGTGGCGAGCCGGTCCGCTCGGTGCCAAAACCCTATGCAACGCCTGTGGGGTCCGTTACAAATCGGGTCGGCTCTTACCCGAATACCGCCCCGCTTGTAGCCCGACGTTTTCAAGTGAGGTTCACTCTAACAACCACCGGAAAGTGCTGGAGATGCGGCGGAAGAAAGAGTCTGCCACCGGTTTAGGTCCTCCGGTTCAAAGTTTTTGAAAATTCAAATAAGATAAAGAAAAAAAAAAGGGAATGTAGACATGAACCGGTGTCAGTGAAACCGGTTCGAATAGCACCGGTTTGGTTGAGTTCATCACAATGTACATTTTTTGTTCCATCATGGTTGGTGCGGTAGGTTTCTAGGCAGGTAACTGATTTGGAGAGACTTTAATGTACTCTTTTTTTTTTTTTAATTTTTAGAAGAAAAAAAAAAAAAACTAGAATTTTTATATATTTCTTTAGTGGTTTCATCTATTATTAAATTTATTAGTATTTGCAGTTTTAGAGAGAGAAAGTGAGTGAGAGGAGAGAGAAAGTGAGTGAGGGGGGTCGGAGTGTGTGTCTGAAACCGCTTAACCTTTTTGCTAGGCCGTTGAAAAGCCAAAATATTATGAACCCGAAGCACGAGAAGAGGGTGGGGGAAATTTTTGATGGCGTGACGTGTACGTATGCCTTGCAATCACCACCGTTGAGTAAAGAAACTGGATTTGGCGGTGATGGAATTTGTACGGTTGAGATTGTGGTAGTTTCATGCAGGACGTGTGGGTCACCCTTTGATCACACTAAAGTCCGGTGGTTGGTATTTTTTTTATGTCACACGTGATCGAGGGGGGTATAGTGCTCTTCGATATTTGCACTGTATATGGACCACATTTTTGGTGGACATTTAGGTCATGCACTTTGCAAAGGCAATGAAATCTCCACAAGAATTATTAAAATATCTTCTTTTTCCTTTTTGGAAATTTGGAGCCATTAGTACTTATTAGTCCTAAGAATTATGTTATTTTTCGTCAATACAAGAAAGAAAATAAAAAAAAAGCTCTTTACTTTAGTCTCTTTTTTAAGATAACAAGAAAGTGATGGTCCAATACTTCTTTTCTAATATATTCAAATTTAAATTTAAGGGTAAAAAAGCAATACATTTGAATTAAATTGTTTATAAAACTATAAAATATTTGTATAAATAATTGAGAATGGCATATCGGACTGCATCAAACGATTTACAAGCATTATACAAAACGATTTACAAGTATTATACAAAATATTTGTGGATTATGAGTCATCTGATGCAATACAACACTTGTATGGTATTTAATAAAAATTGTTTTTGCCATTTGAACAAGTGTGGAGTTTTGTGTTTCTCAATGAGTGCACCCCTCTTTCTCTCTCTATGAGCTATATAGTGGGGGTTAAAGAATTTAATAGGAGAGAAATGAAAGAAAAAGAAAAGAAAGGTAATGGAAAGAAGTATTATATTGTATTTGGTATAAATCATTAAAGGAAAGTAAAGGAAAAGAAATGACAGGATACAAATTAGGTATTGAGTGATTTTTGTTACCCTTCAAAAAAGAAAATGGGAAGAAATTTAAAGAAATAAAAGGAAAGAGCTATAAAGTTTAATAGGTCTTTTTTAATATCAATTTTGCTATTATTCTTGATATTTTTAATTTTTTTTGAAAGAAGTATGAATGGTAAGTTCATTATTAATCAACCAAACACTATACATTACTCATTTCTTCTTCTTTTTTCTTCTTTTTTTTTTTCTTCTTCTAACTAAAATATATATATTTCATTGTTCCAAACATAGCGAGTAGCGTATGTGATAAAAGGGATTTCTATATGTAAGTGAACTTGGCACAACATATTTGTAATTCATTTACTTATCAATATAATAAAAAAATATTAAAATCCACCCTCTTAAAATATTAGATTCTCCCGAAGAAACATTTAATTTGAGACAAATAGAGAATTTATTTACTATCAATATGATAAGCACCAAATATTCAATATTTGAGTATAAGATTATTAAGTTTCAAAACAAATATAGTAAATTAATGGTTAGTGATTACCAAATCAAATTAGAATAATTATAGCATTTCTATCTTGTTAAAAACCTTTTTTTTTCTTTATTTTTTTATTTTATTTTTTTTTTTGTGTAAAATACATAATATGTGTAATTTTTTTTTTTTTTATCTTCGTATGTATGTTGCCCTAAGGAAGAGACAAAAGAAGACTACTTTTTGATCGAACCAGTTAACAAGCAGGAACAAAGTCCTTATCTAAGTGCATTAGCTTACTGCAAGACCACTGACGAGTTCCACTTTTGCTATACTTCTGTTTTGTTTTGAGATTAGGGTTTCAATATTTAAAACTTAAAAAGGTAAATTAGTAACTTTTGAAACAGATAATGTATGTTCTATATGTCCCTTAAAATTATTATTCTTCATAATCGACACTTCAATTGAGACGAAGGGAGTAAGTTGTAGGTTTGTAAAAATTTTGTAAGGGGGTTTGGGAATGACACGTAATTGGGTGTCATTCATAGATACATTTTTACACAAAAAAATATAAAATAATAGTTTTAACTAAAAATAAATATTTATAAAAAAAATAAAATAAATAGATAACCACTACATTTCGTGGTAGTTTTTGCAACACCATATTTGTGTTGCCTCTTGTTATGAAAGCTTGTTAGGGTTAACTAAAGAATCATATCTATATGCAAGCTATTGTGGAGGTGCTCGGAATTCGAATTGATAACTTGAATATGAATTTGAGTATTTAATTGATCCGAATATAATAATTTAATAAATTGGATATGAATTATATTAAATTTAATCAGCTAATAATTTAATTCGAGCAAATGTAAATGCTATATATAGATTATCTATCATTTGATTCGCAGTTGATAAAAAAATTAAACAAAAATGTTGATTACAATGTTACATTGTGTTTTATCCATGGACACTTTTTATTTTTTCCGTTCTTCATTTTTTAATTCTTTTGTTCATTCTATTTTTTTTTTCTTTAACGAAGAATTATATAACTAATTTTTCTTCTCCTTTTATTTTTTCCTTCATATTTTTGGTCTTTCTCTCGCTTTAGTTTTTAATTTAATTTAATTTAATTTTTAAAATTACATCTCTTAACAAATCGAATTGGGCCACGTTGTAATTTTTTAGTTTGATTTAATCATGCAACTTGTGTGGCACCAATTTACCTTATCTTGTAATGTCATTTGAAACATTATGGGTCTTGGAGGTTTCTGAAATATCCATTGGCATTTTCTATTTTCTACATGTTGGTTTTCTTGTTTGAATTTTTTTTTTCTTTTTTAAATTCTCTTTTTTTCACATTATATATGTAAATATTTTAAAAATAATTTTTCAAATTAAGTTGACATTAATTGATGTGGTCCATCCATTGTGGTGGACCCAACTCTCACTTATAGTGAGAAAGTTGTTGACTTTTTTTTCAACTAGTGTAACATTGAATCCTTCTCTTGAATAGTCTATAACAAATAAAAATAAATAATAATAATAATAATAATTTAGTATGAGTCCCGCTCTTCCCATTTGAATTTATTTCGTTAATTCTCTATTTCAGTAAAAGAATGTAGACTTTATTATAAATAAAACATAATAAATGTCCTATCGAAAAACTATCTCATTTGATGAATTAAGTAATCAATCATATTAATACATTTTTGCTCACACCCAAATTTGAATCTGATTATCTTAATAAAAAAGTTCTACCATTGGAGTAATCATATTGGTTAATGAGTTTTTAAATAAATTTGTGATAAATTAAATTTTCTATATATTTTTTTATTGAAAGAAATGAGCATGCTAATTAGATGGTCAAAAATCTTATAATTACTTTAAACTTGGTATAATCACATCAATTAGTAGACTTTTATATATATATATATATATATATATATATATATTATGTATATGGATTTGAAAATCAAAGTGACAAAATTTAATGGAGGGGAGCGAAGCCTACACTAATGTTAATAAGACAAGAAGTAGAAGGTCTAATCTTGCTAGTCAAATTCTAAACACGTCTAGTGATCACGTGCATAGCCGCTCCTCTATCCACATGCTTCCTATTTCAATTTTAAATTCAAATACCAATGACAAGGGCTCGAGAAAATAACTTGTTTCGGTCGTACAAATGACATGATATCATGAGTTGGTTAAATATTAACATGTAATTATATGATTCATTAAAATAAAATATTTTTATTTGTCTAATAACATATAATTAGTTGATGACACGAATTCATGACACGAATCACGTGATATCAACGATACATGCAAGAGAAGTCTTTCTCACGGTAGCATGCAATACAACACAATTTATTATATTTAACAAGTTATTTGGAAACTAAAATGTTAGGTTGCTAATCAACCACGCTTAAGCTCAATTGATATAAATTAATGATATTTTGTTACTACAATAGTGAAATTTTATCACGAAGTTTTTCGGGAAAAAATAGAAAATGATTTTCATACCTAAGTACTAATATTACAATTTGAGGGCAATGATTCATATGAAATAATGTGTCTCTACCCCACCCAACATAAAAGAAATGCATAGAAAAATTTATAGTTGAACTTAAAATTAGATTTTTTGGGGAGCTAGCAATTGTGATGATTTGAAGTGTGTATGACTTGTTGAGAGAGGTCGAATTAAAACAGAGAATGTGTCACTTTTTTAAATTATGAATCATCTTCATTGTATCTAACATTGATAGCGATAAGGATAATAATTGTTAATTGAGATGCATTATTAGTTTTCTTGAGATATTTTTTAAAATAGAATTGATGGTCAAAATTCAGGCCGGCCCTTCACTTGTTTGAGTGGTGTCCCAATCCTCTCGTGGCATTCCACTTGGCGAGACCTAAAAATAATAGCCCCCTTCCTTACTGCATTATATATATATATATATATATATATATATATATATATATCTAATACTATATATCATGTAATGGTGGGTGGTGATTGTGCCAACCCCTAACAAACCTTTTGACTTGGATACAAGGGTTGATCACAAGCATTTGTCTCTACTCTTCCGTAAATAAGAGTGTAACCAACACACCATTTTGAGATCAATACACATGGGAAAATCATTTTTGATCGGAAAGTCTATTCGAAATTGTTTGACTTTCAAACGTTTTATCATTATTATTTACGTCCCGACAATTATTTTTGAATGTCTTTTAGTTTGTACAGTACCTAAAGTTGAAATTCTTTATAATTTCATTCATGGATAGATTTGTTTCTCATTTAATCAAAGTTGTTATCTGATGTATATAAATTCGATAGCATTGACAGACAGAGACTAAGAATTTATTTCTCTTTGTGAGTAAATCTTGTCCGTAGAAAAATATTTTAATATATGTGAAATATCCGTGACATGATATACCATTGGACTAAATACTGACACGTAATAATATGATTCATTAAAAATGTAACGAAGTATAAATTAAACCATTTTTTCCTTACAAAGAATTAATTGAATTGGGTCAATTGAAGTAAATACTTGGTTATGTACAAAATAAAATTGGAATTAGCCCAAGGTCGGCCGGTCTAGCGCAATTTGCACCACTTGGAGTCCATTGTACCATATATGATCATCAGCAAGAGATATACTGGTAGTTGTTTGGTTCATTATACCAAACATGGCAGTGATGGAATTCAAACTAAAAGAAAATAATCAAGACAAATATATACATATAATTCTCTAATTTTGAATTCTTGAATTGATTTTTAATTGACCATTTGTTGCGTTGTACAAATTTTGTTTTAGTAATTTGGATATTCGGAACTTTATCCCGATTAAATTTCTGAACACCATGCAACGTGCACGTATCAGGTAAAATTCATAGCAATATAAAATCAAGATTCTGAGTATGGTGGTGAAAAAGTTGTTACATGACACAGATTTTTTTCATAGTGTGCTAGTAGGTAAAGTGTCATCCGATTGTGCTGTCTGCTTACATATCAGCTAACCCAATCCATAAAAGAAATCAAGAATTAAAGAAAGGAAGAAAGAAAATGACACAATTAGGTTCGTAATATGTGATTGGAGATAAATGTCATAGATATTATCGTGATGTTATTAATTTATTTAATATCATTGTGATCCTAACCCATTTTGACATAAAATCAATCAGATTTGTTCGACTATAAACTTCATATCATTACTCTTTTCATTATTAATTTGAGAAATGCTATATTGACTTTTTTTTTAAAAAAAAAATTTCACAAGGAATATGAACCTCCTTGATATTTCAGAAGGAGAAAAAAATGAAAAAGAAAAGACAAGAAAAATATTGACCATTTTCAGAATCTAAATTTCTTTTGGACTTTTACTGTTTTACCCTCCTCAATATTATCATTTACTTTCAATTTAGTTGATCTTCTTTACTATAGTCTTTTGACTCTTTTTATTACAAAAGTGGGAGATGAAAAAAAAAAGGGGGATGGATATGCTTTTTTTTATTTATTATTATTTTTTTTTAAACTTTAAGGGGGATGGATATGCTTTCTAGTGCTTTGATTCACATCTAATTGCTTCCTTTCTCCTCTCTCTCCCCCTTTCCCATTGAATGAAATGCAGAAAAGGAAAGCGGAAAGTTAATTCTTTTTCTCTTCCCCCATCTTTGTTTCTATTTTTTCCCTTTATCTCTCTCCCAATCTTTTTTGTTTCTTTGGTTTCTTTCCAATCTTGTTTGTTCAAACTTTCATTTCCCTCCCTTGGCCTCATAAACACCCAAATAAGTTGTTTGTGTGATGGTTCATATCATCATTTCATCCTTGCGATTACCCTGAAAAGAAAAGAAAAGAAAATATGCTTATCCGGCTAGTTAGAGGAGTCTGAATTAAAAACTGAGAGTTTACTTGGTTCAATTTTTTAAAAACAGCTCTCAAACAATTTAGAAAATTATAACCGAATAAGTTTTGTACAGTTTTTTTGCTTTTCAATTCAACTGAAAAACTGTGTGTGTGTAATTTTAGCTATTAAATATATATATATATATCATTGTCGTACAAGCACTACAAAAAGGAGATGGAACATCCAAAAGGTGTAAAGTAACAGCCAAAGGAGCAGTTAAAAAACAAAAACAAACAATATCATTTATCTTTATCCCAGTCCCACAAACAAAAGAAGGAAAAGTAAAATTATTATTCCATAAATACATTGTAATTGTATTTGCATAATTAACACTCGATCCACACACAAAAACACCAAACTTTCTTACGCACAAGAAGTTTGTGCAGACCGAACTATTTGCCGCAAGGAATGAGTAAACACGCAAGGCATGCACAAAAGTGCATAAAGTGAGCAATTCAAAGCTGTATCAAACTGTAGAAGTAATAAAGGCATAGAGGTTATTGGTAGGACCAAAAGCACATAATAAAAACACATAGTGAAGTGGGGGCTCATGCATGCAAAGTCACAAGCCTTTACAATGTCTCCCATTTGCTTAGGGTTTGTGTTTGTGATGTTTCATTGGAGGAAAATGACCTCTTCCTCCATTTGACTTCTTTGGTGGTCCACATCCCCAACGCCAACAACCACCCCCATTGCCACCACCTCCTCCGTTGCCGCCACCTCCTCCCCAACCCCATCCTCCGCCTCGACCACCACCACCCCCACCCCCTCCTCCTCCACCGCTGCCACCACCACCACCTCCGCCACCACCATTACCACCACCACCGCCACCCCCACCGCCGCCATGTCCTCCTCCCCATCCATAACCTCCACCTCTTCCTCCTCCACCACCGCCTCCGCCTCCCCCTCCACCACCACCACCGCCTCCTCCTCCTCCACCACCACCCCTCTTATGATGTTTCTTATGATCCTTATTTCCTCCTCCTCCTTGACCACTGCCACCACCAGCACCCCCACCACTACCACCGCCACTGCCGCCGCCTCCTCCACCGCCACTCCCACCTCCTCTACCACCATTGTTCATATCAATTTTACTATCAACCACAACTACATTTGGTAAAGTAGTAGTGTTTCTTCCTTGTGCATCAACAACATCAATGCTATGATTTCTTGCTTCACCACCATTAAGCCCATCAACCAAAAATGGGCTCAACACCGACACAACAACAAGCAACACAGGCCCAACAAACCCCATCTTCTCCACAACTTGGTCGCTGCCACAGCCAAAACTCTCATCCACATTCCCTTATATACCCTTTTGCCATTTGAGTCCTCACTATGTAACAACAAACTCAAAGCTACCAAAACCTATACCCTAACAAAAGGCTGCAAAAAGTGAGGCAAAGGGATTGGAGAGCAAATGTTCCTTCCGGCGCAATTTGTCCCCACCTACATTCTCTGCGACTAAAGCACGCATGTAGGGCACATTATGCACCTAACAGCTTCCTACTTAATTGCTTGGCACTATGCATGCCCATTCTAGCTATGATTATATTATTTGTACCCTCACATGATTCACATCCCTTGTTAGATTGTGATAGTACTAAAATAGTTTACTACTCTAACCTACTATCATCTCTTTCGAATTATATATATATTATCATCATACTAATAGATATAGTTTATGATATGGTGATTTTGTCTCTTGTAAGCACAGCATTAAGAGGATGAGCACATGTTGGGCTCCATATAAAACACACAGTACATTTGATTCCATGAGTAGTTGATAGTCTTTATTACAAAAGGCGCATGGGGATGCCCACTACCCATATAAAAAAGGGCACTTATTGGAACATACAAGTAAGCACAATGTAGGGCTAGAAGAAATCTAGGGTTGCTTGGTTCTTAAGTTTTCTGAAAACCGTTCCAGCAATTTGTTTTCGGATCGATAACTATAAAAAACAATTTTCTGAAAACAATCCTTTCAATAATTGAGTTTTCAAAAAGATGCAACTAAACACGTTTTTGTTCAATTCTATCTGTTCTTATAAAACTGAACTAAACAGACCTCCATTTTTTCTTGTCTGTAGAGCATTATTGTCTATATATGAGTTGTAATGAGGGGACATGCAATGCTATACACACTCGAAGTCCATTTCTATGTAGAGGCGCTCCTCTTCTGTCATTTGAATTGAGAAACAAGTTGGGAGTCAATTTAGTACAAGTTGCAAAAGTGATGGAAGCTGCATGTGGTGACCTTTGTTTAAATTTTCCCAACCTTAATTGATGAGATTTCAAATTGGGGTTCTTGGTTTGAGTGGGGGTCCATATTATAGTTGGATAATTAATTCCCATAAGAAAAAGTGTCCATATATATATATATATATATCAATTCAATGTGGGTGAATTGAGAGTGATGGCTTTTGCTTGACAAATGGGAGTTGAGGTTGGAGTTCAAGTGGCCACCATGTGAATTTCAATTGAATGGATGGAGGTAGTGGTTGAATTGGTAATGGAATTGTAAAAGAGAGAAAAAGTGCAATCCAGATAAGGGCCAGACCATACTTATAGGATATAGGTAGATATCCACAAAGGGAATAGCTAGGGGATGTTAATGTCATCATATCTCTCCATGTGAAGGAAATTCAATTCTTGAAGCAATTGTTTTTTTCTCCTTTTGGTGAAAAGTGTGGTCACAGCAACTTCCACCATAGTGGCCAAGGAGTGGACACAATCCTACCATGTTCATAGGGTTGGCCCAAGCTCATACTTTGTGTATATATGACTAGCCCTAGCCTGTTCATCTGTCCATAATACAAACCCCTCATGATAATTTAATTCTCATATATATTTTTTTATTCTTAATCGTCTTTTCTTTTCCCCTTTAAATTTGAGGAATTCTTGCAAGTTCATATTAACTTTAACATCAATTTTATTTTTTAGTTCATCGAATCTTCGTAAATGAAAATGATAAGAATTTGGATAAATTATATTGACTTTTCTTCAGATTTGGACAAATTATACATGTGTAGATCGTTCAACATTTATTACTTTAATCTTCCTTAAAATTTGACGTGTGCTCACCGACTAAATTTTTCTTTCGAATAAAACGATAATTTTGCTATTTTCTTATTTAAAATCCAATATAATGTATTATTATAATATAAGGGCATTGTTAACTTTTCACACTCAAAGTCAATTTCTTCCCACAAGCGAATGAATTTAAAGGAATTCAAAGTACTAAACACTGTATAATTTGTCCAAACCTCAAGGCAGATGTAATCTATCCAAAAATTTTGAAATTTGGTTAGTTTCGAATGGAATCAATTAAATTTTTTTGAAGCTTATAATACTAATTAGAAAAATGTAAAATATAACTTCAAGTAATATTTTTTCCCCACTGTAAAACAAATTTAAAAAAAAAAAAAAAAAATCCTCCCTCTAAACACGTGTCTTATTGTTTTATATTTTGAAAGGAAAAAAAAACGTAGTATGTTTTTCCAATGTTTGCGCTCAACCTAATAAAATTTTGATCCATTCGTTTGTTAAGTGAACAAGTCAAGATCAACCAACATTTTCATATTTCTTTACCGGTAAGGTAAAGTCTAAAATAACCTTTGATTCGACTTGTTAGGCTCGAAAAAAAACTCTCATAAAAAGGTTTGTTACGGCTCATAAAAATAACAAGCTTATTGGAATTTGATTAGACTTGTAATTGATTTTTTTTTAATCTTAATCTCGATATGAAATTCAAGGTTGACTTTGAAAACGATCTTAAGTTAACTCTAGGCCAACTGGAAGCAATCGAAAATATTTCAATATTAGCACAAAAAAGAAGCCGAATTCAGACACATATTAAGACTCGACTCAAGTTCAAGCTACACTTAAATTCAAACCGAATTTGAACAACCATGTCCTCGACTCAACTCGCCCAAATTGTAATCCTACTAGTAGTGTTCTTTAGTCCTACTAATTAAGATCAAATACTCCATGTCAAAAGTTTTATCATGTACAAAACTTGTGCAACAATGCCTCTCATTTACGGAGTAATTAAGCAGTACAAGTTTTAGTGCTTTACCACCTCCTTATCCATTACCTCCCAGCCTAAACCTCCATATTGCACAACACAGAGTATGTAACCCTATTTATAAGTGCACAAGACTTGTTTTATAGTGTACATTTTGAAACGATAATCTGTGCGATTAATCACTTTTTTTTTCATGACAAAGAACTCCCACAAAGTTTTTGGAGACTCGAATCGTCCATAGACCTTGGTTAGGTCACTTGAATTTACCACCATTCTTTGATTTTCATGGGCTGCCCACTGGGCTTTTGTAGTCCAGAAAGCTGCAGGTGAGAAAAAAAACTTAGTAGGACTTGTAGTAGGACCCAGTGATGATATGTAATTGTCCCTAACACATACTACTGTGTTTGGTTCAGGCCCACAAAGATGTGCATCAAAGTCTGCAAACCCATGTCTATATGGGCTTGGTATAGCCATGGGTTTGGTCCGAGTCCACAAAGATATGCATTCAAAGTCTGTAAAACACTTGTTTATGTGGGTCCGGTATAAAATCCATGTTTATGGGTTTGGGCGGAGCCCACAAAGATATGCATTCAAAGTCTGTAAAACACTTGTTTATGTGGGTCCGGTATAAAACCCATGTTTGTATGGGTTTGGTCCAAGCCCAAAAGATATGCATAAAACTCTGTCAAGCCCATGTTTATATGGATTGGATATAAACCCACAAAGATATGCATCGATGGATGTATTGTGTTGGGCCGAAATTGCTTAAAAATGAAATGGGCTGAAGACCAAAGATGACACTTTGTTTTTTTAGCAAGCTAAGAAGTGTTAGATATAGAGAGTCGAAACTTAGTATTCCAAAATTCACGAAAGATACTAATCCACTGGACTATCGAGACTACTGCAACCAAAAATAATTTTGGATGTGCATCCATGGGATATTGGATTGTATTGTGCTGAGTTGAAATTGCTTAAAAATCGTTATTCAATTAAACAAGTATGAATCTAAAACTATGTCAACCATTTTTCTCTGTAACATTCCACACAAAAAAAATAAAAAAATAAAATAAAAACAAGTATGAATCTATTTATAAGTGCACAAGACTGGTTTTATAGTGTACATTTTGAAACGATAATCATATGCGATTAGTTACCTTTTTTTCGTGCAAATAACTCCCACAACGTTCTTAGAGAGACCCAATCCTCCATCTCGTTAGGTCACTTGAATTTACCACCATTCTTTGATTTTCATGGGCTGCCCACTGGGCTTTTGTAGTTCAGAAAGCTGCAGGTGATAAAAATCTTAGTAGGCCTTGTAGTAGACCCAGTGATGATATATTATTGTCCCTAACACGTACTACTGGGCTAGGTCCAGGCACACAAAGATATGTATCAAAGCCTGTAAACCCATGTCTATATGGGATTGGTATAACCATGGGTTGGTCCAAGCCCACAAAGATATGCAGTCCGGTATATAATCCATGTTTATATGGGTTTGGTCCAAGCCCAAAAGATATGCATCAAACTCTGTTAAGCCCATGTTTATATGGTATAGGGCCACAAAGATATGCATCCATGGATGTATTGTGTTTGGCTGATATGCATGAACTCTGTCAAGCCCACGTTTATATGGTATAGACCCACAAAGATATGCATCCATGGATGTATTGTGTTTGGACGAAATCGCTTAAAAATGAAATGGGCCGAAGACCGAAGTTCTTATTTTTTTTTTATTTTTTGTTGGCCAGAAGTGTTATATGTGATTAAAAAATGTAAAGAGTGAAAACTTGGTATTCTAAGATTTACGAGAAATACTAATATATTCAACTATCGAGACAACAGTAACCAAAAATGACTTTGGTCAACAGAGTGCATCCATGGATATTGGGATGTATTGTGCTCAGCCACTTAAAAATCATTATTTAATTAAACAAGTATGAATCTAAAACTGTGTCAACCATTTTTCTCTGTAACATTCCACACCACCAAAAAAAAAAAAAAAAAAAAAAAGAGTTTAATTAAATCATTATAATGTAGCAAAACATAGACACCCCATCGAAAAGTCAATTCGGTCCACCACTAATATTAGAATGAACGCGTTTGGACATTATAACACTTACAAAAATGTAGTTCACCAAAATATTGACATTTTGACACCCAATTGAATACTGTGTCCAGTCCAACACGAACACCAATATAGGTATAATGCGCGTATGGACATTATCACA